ATATTACTTATTAACTTCTCTAAATTAGCAGGACCAGAATGTGAATCGCTGAGCTTCTGACCATCTGGCAGCGTCAGACCCAAACAGGGACAGGACAGGAGAATTGGGAATAGTTTCCATTTCCCAGAACTTGACAGCATGCCTGTCTCCAAAGCAGTGTTTCTCAATCCGCTCCTCGGAGACCCAGTCAGACCACGTTTTCGCTCCCACCGAGCTCCCTGCCAGACAGTCCACATTATTAACGTGCAGGTCTCTGAGGACTAGACTGCCAGACAGTGCTCCAAAGGATAACTGCATGAAGAGCTTGGGTTATGGTCTTCAGCATGGGTCACTCCCTAATCCTTAATCCCGACACTACAATCAGCACCTCAGCGTACCACAGATGCAGGATTCAAGAATATCCTGTGTTTATGTGCTCTACCCATCAACTGAACTCTCGCTGCGGGGAATCCTGCATAAATGAACCACAAGTCATGTGACTTCCAGCATAAGTGAGCTACAAATCATGTGACCTCCTGTACACATTGCATACGTCTAACACGACTTGCTGACCCATGCAATCCAAGGGCATTGGGAGGGAACAAAAACGTGGACCGTCTGGGGGCCCCGTGGACGGGTTTGAGAAACATTGCTTTAAGCCACGCCCATCTGATCGATCACTATGACATTCGCCCATTAGAAGGCCTGGCAGAAGTAATAACTGTATTATGGCAGAAATGGATTAACACTCCTACTTCGTTAATCTAAATGATTACTGGCCCTGTATAAGATAAACACCTGCACTGGACCAGGCTGTTCCACGGTCCCAACACATCATCCGTAAAAAAATTAGAACCTTAATTAGAAACACCCACCTAGCAATTCGCACCAAAGTCACAACTTTGGCACGCAAAGATATTTAATATTCAGCGTCAGGCAGTACATTCCATGGTGAATCACTGCAGTTGCAATGAAAGATAAGACAGAATAAAAGCAAAAAGTCCCTATAACAGACACCATTTTCTATGATCAGTGGTCCAGAGTAGAGTCATGGTGAGTTTGGAGTCTACAAGAGGAAGCACAGATTTGGATTCATAATAGGGCAGCATTTCCCAATCCGTTCCTCGGGGACCCACAGCTGGGCCACGTTTTTTTCCTTCCAAGCTCCCTGCCAGACAGCCCACATTTTTGCTCCCTCCGAGCTCCCTGTCAGACAGCCCACATTTTTTGCTGCCTCCGAGCTACCTGCCAGACAGTCTACATTTATGCTCCCACGGAGCTACCTGCCAGACAGTCTACATTTTTGCTCCCACCGAGCTCCCTGCCAGACAGTCTACATTTTTGCTCCCACCGAGCTCCCTGTCAGACAGTCTACATTTATGCTCCCACCGAGCTCCCTGCCAGACAGTCCACATTTTTGCTCCCTCCAAGCTCCCTGTCAGACAGTCCACATTTTTGCTCCCTCTGGAAGAGCAATCCAGATGGACAATGCTGCAGATAATTTAGAGAAATCAACGCGCTTAAAACACATGCCTTTGCTGCTGAAGGAAGCTGGAATATCCAGCTTGACTGACTCCCCTTCCCTTGCAGGGAAGGGGAGTCAATCAAGCCAACAGCCCCAGAGGCATGAGACTGTCCACAGACCCACAAGGTCACCCTTAAAAAACACATCGGTGTTACTCGGAAAGCAAGAATCAAGCAAAGGAGACTAAGGGGGGACATGATCCAGGTATATAAGATTCTAACAGGTCTGGATGCTGTTCAGCCAAATGGCTATTTCAATATTAGTTTAAATACTAGAACTCACGGCCATTTTAAAATGAATTTGAGAAAGCACTTCTTTATACAGCGTGTAGTTAGAGTATGTAATTGTCTTCCTGCTAGTGTACTGAAAGCTAAAACCCTGGGTTCCTTTAAATCAGAGCTAGATAAGATTTTAACAATGTTTTCTTAATGACATTCCTGTTTACTAATGCTCAGAATTATAAGTTTAGCAATACAGTAACAAAGAAGCTTTTTTGTCCAGAATAAACTGTTCCTTTTCTCTGTAAACTGTAAAATAATGCTTGAAAAATGTTTATTTCGGTAATGGACTGGAATGAATTCTTGGCCACAACCTGGTATCAATGGTGCTATTTTTCCAAGTTAAGGCCTTAGTTTTAATTCTAATATGCAAATGCAATATATTCTAGTCACTGAAGATAACATTTCTGAATACATCCACGCTCCAAATGCTCATCCTGATTAGGGTTACGAGGGCGCGACAGCCCATGCCAGGCTGCACAGGGCACAGTGTTGGGTCACACACTGGACTGACTGCCAGCCCGTCACAGGAAACACACACGCACACAAGCACAAGCAATTCAGAGGCACAAATTAGCCTAATGGCATCACTCTAATCAGCGGGAGGAAACCACTTCACCCAGAGCAAGGCTGTGACTGGCGGTGAAAATTTTCTGGGAATTGTGTAAACTTAAAGCATGTACCCTTATTGTGTTTTACACCAGAGGCTCTGGTCAACACTGCGATCAAAACAAGTCTGGGCACATATACAAACATCTGCAAACATATACACACACTATGGGCATTTCAGTGGCATGAGGCACCTAATGACAGAGGGAGAACATGCAAACGGCGTGCACACAGAGCGGGGGTGAGATTTCAAACCGTAACACCCTGGGGGTGTGAGGCAACAACGGCACCCACCCCCTCCTGATCACGTTATATCGGAAATTCCAGTTTTGTGCTCAGTGACACGGCGTAATCTAGCCAGCAGTTACCAAACACACTGGAATGTGAGCCCGACAAAAACTCACAACCCACAAAATGACACAGTAGCTACAGAGTTGAGCGAGTTGTGGGTTCGCATCTCTGCCGTCACCCCTGCAGGCACAGACTTTCCAAAGTTCCTTATGTAGCTGTTACACCTGCGACCCTGAATGGGGACTGAACCGGCAGATATGTGGCTTATTGGGCAATTAGTCTTTCAACCAACACTGGGGAGACGTCACCTTCGTAACCCAAGTATGAGCTTCACCCTATAAACATCCGAGTGTACATACAATACAAACAAAAACGCAATTTCCATAATGCCGCACTATCCCCGTTGCTCAAACAACCATGAGTGAACTACGACATTATTTTGTGGAAACCAACTATTAGCTTTACTAAGTAACACCGTTGCATGCACTTCAGAAGCAATCAAGCCCGTCTTAAAATAACCATTAAGTGATAAGCTGAAATTTCAAGTGGCCCTCTAGCGCTCAGTGATCATCTCCAATACCCTAGACATTTCTTACCACACTCTACTACCCCTCGACTGAAATGCACGTTTCTATCATTTCCGACGAACACCTTCCTCTTAGGGACGACTCAGACTCCATCCTGCTAAGGAAAGACCTTTAAACGGCCTGTAGACACTCTGCCACGGCGTATATGACCTTCAGGATCATCTTTTGATATTTATTTACTGACACTTACCTGAAGCAATTTAGAGCCATAACTTACAGCTGTCTGTTTCAGTTCAATATTTCACACCACGGATCACACAGAAGCTGGGTCTTTTCTTGGATTTACACAACTACTGTCAGGTTATGAACACACATAGCCTGACCTCTACTGTACCTCTTGCCCATTTAACTTAAGGAATTATAGCGAACAGTTCATCTGTGCTTAAAATGAGAATTGTTTTTATTTTGTAAGTGGGCTGTATGGCTGTTTATAACATGTCCAACCGCAAATGCGTACTACAGCAGCTGTTATAGAAGGCACAGGCTGGGATAACTGCCAGTTTTAACGGTGCAGATCATTAAGTTTATAGCTAAAAGCTTGTAGTCAGACAGGTCCGTGTTTTTGAAGCAGTGCTCAGTATCTCAAACGCGCAGGCTGAGCCGATGAAGCCGGAGTCGGTCCTTTTACACAAGCACAACAAAAGGCTTATTCAGGACGCCTTGGCAAAAACAAACGTGTCCCGCAGGTTTACCGCGCCGTTTCTCTACCGGGATCCCCGTTACCTGATCGCCGGTTTGCAGATATCCGGCTCCGATGACATACGCCGCCCACCTGCTTTCGTTTGTTTTCATGTTTACACACTGACAGGCTGCATGAAATGTGTTTTTCAAGTTAACTGCCTAATTCACGCAGGCCACATGTCAAGGCAGCGCTTAATTAATTATGGTGAGTTGATCTGGATACCTTGTGTTGCCATGTGATTTTCACCCCCCCCCCAGTTCACGTCTGTATTGCATGGTACACAGAGCACATTTAAAAACTTTTAGATCAAGACGACACTTAACTTGCTTTTCGTGTGTTTATTTTATGTTCCATTTATAAATACGAAAAAGTATATCACTGCACACAAATAATGCACGGGCTATACCGTAGCCTAATACGATCAGATAAACATCTGTCAACACGTTACAGTGCCAAGGATGCGTTACAAAAATCCGTTGTTTTCTTCGCTATGTTTATTCCAATATATTATTTTTAGTAGTAGTATTGGTGTTATTAATAGTAATAATATTAATAATGAGTAAATGAAAATAGGTAGGCTGTATAAACGTTTCACATATGATCAAGATCATTATTTTCCATTTACGGTTATGTTTGCCTCTCTGACCTCCGCTGTAATTCCGTAAATCCGCCTTTTATTACTGCGGAAGCGGAGTTGTGCTCCCAACTCCTTATCGTTACGCAGCAAAAAAATAAAATGAAATAAATAAATGAAGAATGCAAAAAAAAATCAGCACCCGCCTCTCATAAGGCACCATGGTCGCTTCTGCACCGCCGCTGGCAGCACAGAAAGGGCTTTGACAGCAATTCCGAGGCGCAGTTTTTAAGGCATCACGCGGGCAGAGGCAAATGTTTTTGCGCCTTTTAAGTGCAGATCGGATGCACTTAAATTCATCTGATTAGCAGTAAGGCGCCCCAGACTTTTTATGTTAAATGGCATCTATTTTGACCCCCCTCTCCTTCCAAAACGCGCATTACTTCGAGAAAAAGCCTGTCCCGCAGCACCGTACCTTGGCATCGGCGTCCTCCCCCTCCTGCACCTCCACCGCCTCCACGTTTTGATCCCCGGCTGTCGCATCGTCGGGACCCTCGCCGTTCCGTCTCGCAGAGGCTGAAGCACCCATGATTCAGTACCGCAGCCTCCCCCCGTCCGGCAGACAAAGCAACGTCTAAGGCACACGGTTTATCCCCACCGCCAGAAATGTATCTGCCGACCGCTCCAGGGATACTCAGGCTCTCAAGTGATGCAAACGAGCTCCCTGCAAACTCTTTTAGGAAACCACCGCCTCCCCCCCGCCCCCAGCCACTATCACATGTACAGGTCACTGGCACGCCTTGCGGCATCAAAGGACAAGCGAGAATGAGGACCTGGAAACATGTGCGGACAACACATTATTACTATTTCTGAATTGTCTGGACATTAAACACCATACAAACCAGCAGAGAGTAAGTTAATTACAATGTATTGCAAAAATTTCATCAGATTTTTTTATTATAAGAATTTATTATAAGAATTTTGATTTACGCATGCAAATTGTATTAAGATTCGTATTAGACCAGACCTATTAAGGGCATCAGACAAGACATATTTTTGCGTTGTTTACGACGCTTTTAAAATCCATTTTAGAGCTGAGACTTTCATCTGAGCTGTTCAGGTTAAGTACTTTGGTGAAAGGGAAATGCAACAGGGACCCTCGCGGAAGCCAAAACTTTAGCATGTATATATGAATGCTTGATTTTAATCAACTTCCTATCTTATGCACTTGCCCTTAAACACCAGTGTATACAACCTGTCTTCTGAAGCAGACTTAAGGGTTACTTTCAAACGATTAGCAAACAAGTAAAACCAAATAAGCTGAAAAAAGTATAAAGTATATAAGGAAAAACAAAAATGCAAACAATGCTAAAATGGTTTAAATATATCGTCTCAACAGCCCTTGAGCAGGAGATTAAATCAGGTTTCACAGTTCTGTGATGACATCTTTGAAAAATGATGGATGTTTTTGTCTTTAGCCGAAATGCAAAACAAGTACAGAAATGCTTGGATATTGACTTCATATCAGCCCCACATGGATCTCCAGAGAGTGACTGAAGAGGCTGTTGGGGTAACGGCTAGTTTCCGGGCGGGCAGAGGAGTTCTGGAAAAAAGGTTCACGGTTAACTAGGAAGTGATGTCACCATTTGGAAACAAGGAGGCAGCCAATGAAAAATTGTTACAGCATCACCAGCAGCTGCTACAGCGCTTTGCAATAGCTCACTGGGGATTATTGAATTACTGCACGGTCAGATGGAGCGACCAGGGAATCTGACGGAAGACGTACATCCTGATGGTCAGTTTTGTTACGGGAAACAATGCAGTGATGAGAAAATGAGACTTCAGTACTCGCAGTGGGCGGGGTTGGCGTCAGATTAACTAAAATCTAATTGGTTACTTTATTTGTTTCCATTGGGTTAATGAGCCAGTGAGTGAGATCCATCTACCTGTCTTCCAAGCTGTTTTCTTGCACAGTGTTGCCAGCAGCCAATCCCAGGCAGCACAGGGCTGAAGGCCAGACTGCACCCCGATGGAATGCCACTCCATTGCAGTGCACATACACACACATCCACACACAGAATCACACTCCCCAGCCAGTTTATAAAGCAGCTGGGCTTACCGCATGCTCACAGTAGCCCCCTACACCGTATGTCTAAAGGTCACATTTCTACCCTAATTACAAAACAAATAGCAATATCATCCACTTTGTCAGTTTTTTTGGAAACATACTGATTATGGTCTATTGTTAATCTACAGGTAAAAGACCAGCTTCGTGAACACAATCATAGAGAAAATATAACTTTGCAGTAACTTAGAAAGATATAATTAAACCCCATACTTTAACCAAAAACCATACTTTCTTTGTTTTTCTTTTGCAGTCAGCTATTTTGTGTAATTCACAGGGGTGCCCATATAGTGTATTAAAGCCCATGATGTAGTGGCGGGAGGGTGTAGTGGTTATCAGTATAGCCCCAGACCTCCAGGTCAGAGGGATTTGAACCCAGCTGTGATTATGGGGGTTTAATCCTGCAGTCCAAAAACACACAGTTAGCTGAACTGATGACTCTGCTTTGCCAGTACTGTGGGTGCCCTGCGACACACTGGCATCCCATCCAGGCTGCTCATTGACCTTACTGGGATGCCCATTGCTTACTGGGATGGGTGCCTTGTACCTGTGAAACAGGCATGGAAGTTGGGTATTATTTCACATTGAATGTTAAAAATACAGTTTTCATAATCACCTACAGCTACAATTGGTTTCTTTTAATTCAAGATTCAAACGGCTTTTTATAGATTTGAATTGGTTTGTCAAATAAGGTTTTGTCTGCAGATATGCCCTGACCACAGAGTATGTATAGTGAAGCATGCATGACGGATGTAAGAAACTGCCTCGTTAACCCAGTGAACAGGGATTATGGGCGGGGGTTATGCTTCTTGGGCGCAACCCACCAATAACTGAATTATGGGATGAGGGATTAGACTTTCATTGGAAGTTAAAAGAAGCCCATTTTTGAAACACCGGAGAGATCTGACTGTCAGTCCTCTTGTTAAGTATGCAGACACACATCGACTTGATTCCATCCATCCATCCATCCTGGCCAGGATGACAGGTCACTTGATTCTTAATCATGTTTCTTGGTCTGTGAGAGGGACCCAGAGTACATGGAGCTGAACCACACGACACAGTGACAACAAGCAACCTCCACCCAGGCAGAGGGCGGGAGCAGCACTCAGATCCTCAGGTGTGAAGCGACAGTGTTGCCCTTCATGCCCAGGGGGACATGGAGACCCCAGCAGAATCAGGGGGCCCAGCACCTTGTAGGGGTCCCAATATGTACCACCCCCCCCCCCATGTCATGCTAAATTTATGGGGGCACATTTGCAAGGGGCCCAAAATTTCTAGCTACGCCCCTGATCACACCACCTTCTGTTGGGATTACGTATCTGAAAAGCAGCAGAATAGAATAGTGATATCTTATTGATCCCCATCGCTTACACCACCGTGCTCTCCATGAGACATGTAGTCGCTTACACAGGTGAGAGTAAGCTTGGGGGTCACAGCGCGGGGTCAGCCAGCGTGCACCGCCTCTGGAGCTGGGGGTTAAGGGCCGTGCTCAAGGGCCCAAATCAGCATCAGTCAGCCGGCCTGGGGATTGGATCCTGTGATCTTCCGATTGCAGGCGCAGCCTCCTCACCCACTGACTCACATCCACCCCGCAGGGCACCAATAACTGAATTATGGGATGAGGGATTAGACTTTCATTGGAAGTTAAAAGAAGCCCATTTTTGAAACACGGGAGAGATCTGACTGTCAGTCCTCTTGTTAAGTATGCAGACACACATCGACTTGACTAAGACAAAATATGTGTAGCAAATAACACAAGCCAATTATGTGAAAGTGGCCAAAGTATCCATTAAGTGCCATTGAGTCACTGACCCTTCGCTCTCGCGCGATGATTTCCAACCAGCCTTGCCGTCCCCTTAAGGAAGAGAGGAAACCATTTCACTGACCTCTGGCGCCAAACTCTCTGCAAAGCTCAGTTTCCTTTGGCACGAATACCAGGTGCCTCTGCCCACAGTCTCAGACCCGAAACAGGGGGTGGGGGGTTGACCGTCATGTCGTGAGGGACGCGGAATATGTATCTATGTGTCACTGGCTGGATAATGGAGTATGATTCACCGCTGTGACACGGCCGCCAGAAACACACAATAACTTCCTTCTCCGTGAATCAGGCCACACATTTCGATTCCCGCCTTCTGCCCCCAGGGAGCATGAAAAGAAAGCGGCCAGAGAAGCAGCCGACAGGCGTCCTTCGGCGCTCGGGGTCAAATCGTCACGGTTGTCATGCAAAACACGGACGCTCTCCAGTCCACATGGGCGCCGAGCAAATTTTGACTAAATGGATCCGGAATAAGCCACAGTGAATTAAGTCAGTTTCCTGATAGCAGATACCTGATATTATTCTATTACCCAGTTATTCAAGACGAAATTCAAATTATGGCCAGTGTTTTTTTTCTTATCCCTAAAAACATAGCGGACACGCAGACGGAACGTGTTAATTTGTTTTTCCATTTCAATCAGATCCATTATTATTTCACTTTTTCTCAAACCAAGCTATGTGTGGTGACTTATAGAGTGGATCTGTCAGACCAGAATTACCATGTTCCAGCTGTTACTCTGCCAGGACCTTTTGTGCCTGCGCCTTGATCCGCCATTCGTGTTGAAGCGAGGCTGTTCTGAGGTTGGGGTTCGGGGGGAAAGCATGCACGGCCCACATCTGGATTCCGTTACCAGTGCCAAACAGCGGTTCTCCGAGTTCTTCTTGGGAGGGGCAGTGTTGTCACTGCTCTCTGGATGAAAACGGAGGTGGCAGTTTAAAGGATTGTGAGCTTCAGAACACCCCTGGGGAGGAGTGATCTTCACCCTGCCTGACCGGCCTTAACCGTGTAACCAGGCGGATAGCCGGCTCCCTACAAATGCACGCCCTGCGAAGGAGTTACCCCTATCGCTCTGAATTCTCGGCCCGCCTCCGACACTCTGTCCACTTCACCATCCAGCGCATGAGCCATTCCCATTTCGATTCTATGTGAGTCTTTTTGCTTGAGACGCACAGAAGTCAGGCCACATGCACTGCTGGGACAGAATGTATGCTTCAAGGCCTCAGGTCTGGAGGTTTAAGCGCTGGATGTGAAGCTCTCACAGCGGCCGCAGCCCTCTCAGGCCGCTGACATCAGCACTCTCTCCCAACTCCAGCGGACGCTCAGTCTTCGGGGCCGTCATTGGGCCAAAGCGAGGCTAAATCCCTTCCTCGAATCCAGACGAGGCCCAGTCCAAAGACGGCTTAGGATTACAATACAAATCCCAACACTCCGCAGGAACAGGCCGCTTCATTGTTCCGGCCCCCTGTTCCCACTGCTGTTGGGTTTGTTGAGGGCTAACCCTGACCAGCATAATGCTAACTAATTACCATCAGCCCTTCGTGGGGCCAAACCCCACCGTTCTGATTGGCAGGGTAGATAATGTCGAGGGGGGGGTGCAGGTGGGACACAAAAACCTTTTCACTAGTTTCGGGGGGGGGGCAGCGCCAAATGGTGGGGTTCGAATCCACAAACGAAGCACTTCCTCGAAAGGTTTGGGGGGGGGGTTTGGTTCACATGGCCTGTATGGGCACCCACACAATAGGCAGGGATTACACACACATTCTGCCTGGACGTCCATTGTGTGTGGGAATAACAAAATACTTGTGCCGCCATTCCCAGCATGCACCTGGAAGATCTGATCACAGATCAGAACTGATTGCTGCTTTGACGAGTATTCCTGAGGTCTTCAACATTACAGAATTAGTACCTGGACACCGTCTAACATCCAAAGAGTAAAATCCATATGTGAGATCTGTCCTTGGTACTGAACTGTGCAATTTCAACAAATCGGATCTTTAACTGACAGGTATGATTTTTTTTTCTAATTCATTTTGGTTTTAGTTCAATGCAAATAGACTAATAAATTAAGAAGGACTGGTCATCAAACACAAATAATTTCAATGAATTTGATTATATTTCAAAACACTGAGTAACACGAAAGGGAGGCTGACAGTTTCCACACGCTGGGTCTGTTCCCTGGGACATGTTTTTCAGCTTGGCTTTGGCGAGCGGTCAGTGTTGTCCTTGGAACGGGAAGAGTGCCCGTTTCCAGGGAAGGCGAACAGGGCAGTCAGAAGGGCGCGTGCCTGCGGGGCACATAAAACGGACACGCGCCTGACACGGGTGCGACCCAGCCTCGCCTGTTTCCATAGCAGCCAAGAGGACCTACTTTATGATGCCCTGCTTCCCACGTACGTCCGTGAGCAAATTAATCCATGCATTTCTCCATACTAACCAGCAGTCATTTACCCACAAAAAACACCAGAAATTCCAGGATTAACAAAAATTCTTTATTAACGTACTTATTGGTATTAAGGTCAATAAAAAAATGGAGCAGGCAGCCTGGCTTTAGTATCTAGCTACAGCAGACATTCATTCACATGGTCTGGATTAAAGAAAGTGTTTTTATAAATGTAACTAAGAACATTTGTACAAGCATAAGGTTTCATTAATATAAGCACTGGTTATGTAAATAGCTCAGAACATGTAGAGAAATGTATAAGAACCCTCTGGTACAGGATGTAGTTACCACTCCAGAGCCCCACCCCCCCAAAACACACACACACACACACACACACACACACACACACACACAGTTAAGACATTGTGGTGAACACTGTAAAAGACCTTCAGGGGCTGTGTTTTCATGTGACAGATTGCTGGGATGACGGAGAACACGCCTGTCTGTCGTTCCCCCCCCGTACACAAAGGAGATATGAAGCCGCTGTCCATGTCACCCCCCACCCCAGAAGAGGCTGGGATGAGCTATGTAGTGTTGTGGTTCTGTTTCTCCTGTCAGGGACCCTGCGGAAAGGTGGGTTGGGGTGATTCACACCATCATAGAGAATAGTATGGGTCTCTGGTAACTGAAATAGCCCCGCGGCCCCTAATGCTTAGACAACATCCTTTGTCATCCTAGGGAATTCACACGGGTGAAGAATCCTGGTTCCAATAACTGACAGATTCCAGGCCAGACTGGCCTTGGCTGAGTGTGCTGCCGCTCACCAGCAGGTGTCCTGAACTCGCCTACCGCCTTGCCATTTAGACGCTTATCAAGCTTACCCAAGTTACCCAACTTACAGCTTTGCATTCTCTGGTGATTTGGGTGGATTTTTCCGCTGGGATTTATGACCATTTCTGAATAACCACGTCATTCCTAGTGTTGGGACTGAGATCCCTAACCACTACGCCACCTGGTGGCACCGCAAATACCACAACTGCAAGCCTGCCTCTGTGGCCTTGTCTATACAACCATGAATCATCTAAAAAAAGGCTTGGTCAGAAATACATTGTCCATTCACCCCTCTTCTGTCTTCCATGCTATCTATCCAGTACAGGGTTGAGGATGATCCTGGGGTCTGTGCCATTGCAATATCTTTGACTGACTATTTAAACAGTTTTTGCTTTTTAGCTGAAATATCAAAATGGAAAGCGGAGAGAAATGGCTGTTTAACAGGGATGAATCCTTTGACCTGAGCACAGAGACACCCACACATGAGATCCGTGTGACAAAAATGTCTGAGAAAAACACTGTTATTACGTGCTGAACGGCAGAGAGTCTCTCTGAAACTGTGGGAGATTTTGGTCTGTAACACGTGTTCCCTGACTTTGCCATGGTGACGATCACATGCTGCTTGGGAAGCCGGCCAATCACGGCGAGCCGCGGGCGCACCCAGCCAGCCCATTCACATCTAACCACTTTGCCTGCATACTCTGTGTCTTTGTTTTTATTTATCATACTGATGTCCCTGGGGGGGGGGGGGAAGGGTGGAATATCCTGGCTGGGGTCTGCTTTTAATTAAACAAGAAGACTTTCTGGTGCGGTAAAAGAAGCTGACATTGTCCAGCATCCAAAAACAAAGAACTTTCATTAAATTCCTTGAAAAACCCAGACGATCGATCGCTGAGTTCATACAGAAGCATCTGGTGTGATGCAACGTCAGCAGAGAGGGAGGTTTAGCCCATCTAACACAGATGAATAGTTAAAGATTCAGGTTTGTTGAGAGATACACGGGGAAGGATTTGTGTAACAGGTCCAGGAGGGATGTGGGAGCGTCTGGAACTTACCGACGAGGCAGGTTCTTAGAAAAGTCCAGAGATCTCCTCTGTGTCTGGGTCCAGGTCGATGTCGTAGAAGCAGGGCCGTGTGGGCAGCCCCGGCATGGTGCTCATCTGTGGGCCAGACAGAAGGTCAGTGTACCTGCCCTCCCCAGCCCCTCCATCGCCATCTCCAAAACAGCCATGATTTTAGCACAGCAACGCTTTTAACGACTAATACCAATGAATGAGCTGCAAACTCATTCTTTCTGAAGGTGAGTGAAGTATGATGGCAACACCACTAACATGAAGAAACCAAGAATGAAATCAACACTATCACTGTCTTTACAGTATAAACTGCACTGCTGATAATGTCAAACTCAGGGGGGGGTTTCTTCTGGCCAAAATGTTTGCTACACTCGAGCTCCCTTGAAATCACCTGCTCTTATCATGCCACATAGGCCCCCCATGTTTTGGTGGGTGGGGGGATCTTGCAGGCAGTTATTGAGTTTTATCACCGCGCCGTGATTCAGAGAGCGCCAGGCGCCTCTGCTGTCTCGTCTGAGCAATGGAGCGAAGGAGGAATCCGGGAAATCTGATTGGCAGCGGCACCAGTCCCAAACTAACTGAGATGTGAAATGGTGTCTTCAAAAAGGCCAGAGTCAAACTGGGAACCACCACATAACTGGACTGGGAAAAGATTACTTCTCTTGTCGAAAGACACACTGCTGTGATGTAAACAAACCGACCAACCAGCAGTCAGGTCTGGTGCCACTAGCACTGGTGGGGTCATGTCTGTGCTCTAGGTTCTTCCCACTGGACACCATATCATGCTGAACATCTCTGAGACACTGAAAGGTCATTGAGGTCGACTAATGGTCGGCATGTTCAGTCATCAAAAACATATCCTTCAGACAGCGTTCAGCACAGAAGTTGATATGATTGGAAAAAAGTCCAAAATAAAAAATCAAAGAATTAATGGTCTATCAGATCTTAAGGATCCTGACAGAAAACCTATAAATTAATACAAGACAAAGTCTATAGACAAAAAATAATAACATTATCTTTTTACTGGCCTGCAGCAATGACTACAAAAAAGCTGCGAAATGTGCATTAGGAAATAAACTCCTGGTGTATGAATGCAGTGGTGTGGCTGGAGCGGGAAGGAAGCCCAATAGGTGTTCAATAATTGACGAGAAACAAGAAGAATTCAGTTACAGTGTGAATGAGGTGGGTGAAGATCCAGTAAGAGGCCGTCTGCTCGACTGCATACATAACCAGCTGGAATTTGGAAACATCTGTTATCGAGGAAAATATAATATCTCTAGACTGTTCCGTGGTCAGCAATAAGATGAAATTTGCACAAATGAAAGATAAGCAATGTTGTCACTCAAGATATGAGTTTAAGTTAGACTTTGAGCAATGTTAATGGTCTTGTATATTATTGTATAAATCCAACTAACTGGAGATGTGGTTTTTCACCAGAACCTGCTCCGAAACAGGGCAGGGTTAGCATGGACACCCCTGAATGCCTGACCTCAAGCTACGTTGTCACATCATGGAACAGAATTGGCACAGAAGTGGTTTGATGTGAGTGACAAATATTAACCCTGTGTAACATGTCATCTGGGGGACTTTGGTGTGGTTTTTGGTAAAGAAGACCCCTGTAGTCAAGTGACACAAGGTGAGCACGTAACCATCTGGATAATAGGGTTGAATTTTCCACAGACATGTTGTGTGTCACATCTCCTAGGGTTTATGATGCCATTAATACCTGATCTTTAAGGCCCACCAAGGTCAGCACTGCACAGATGTTCAACGGAAGGACACATCTGTCATCAGTAACGGTGTGTTTCTCAATCATCATTAATGGCTGAGGTAAAATGGTCAAGAAGCTCCCAGTTAGAACTGCGGGTTTGTAATGGGGGATAGGAGAAGAGAGACTTCACAGGACACAGTGGATCTCAGCCATGGGCTCTCAGCTTCGCTCATGGGGGTGGAATCGGTCACTTTAAGGGGGGGCTCGAAGCTTGTTTACCAGACTCATGACTGTTCACATGCCCCCCTTTAATCCTTAAATTTCATTTGACTAATCATCCCGTTTTCTCCCGCACAACACTTGACCAGTCAGTTGACTTTAATTTGCCAATTTTAAAAACTTTCTTTAATTATTTCCCTCTGAACAGTCTGTTTCCCGTTCTTGCAAGTGGTCTACCATCCTGCAAGCCCACTGCTGCCCTGGACAGCGCAGCGCGGGGAAGGGGTGTGGGGCACATGGCACCTTTGACCTGTTGCCTAACTGCGCGGAGAGGACCCCCGACAGATGGAAGGCAGACCACCAAGCCTCTCCGACCCTCCACACTGCGGCCCCCCACCTTCCCTGTCAGCAGCCATTAGCAGTCACGCCCATTTAAGGCTGCGGTCGCCCCATTGTGTAAATTGCGCTAATTTTTTGTTCTGTTCTGTCGATTCAAATCCAACATACAATAGTGTTTGGCAGAGTGCATATGTAGCCCCGCCTTAACTCCACCCCCTAACCCTTTCGGTCAATAGCGAGTGGCCATTTCCTCATTTAAACTACCATCTAAATTCCTTTACATTTTTGGAAACAATGTCTGAAACCTTTGACATTTCTATTGTACATACCTCGCATATATTTTTTAGTTGTTCTCACAATTATGTAAAAATAGTTTTGAGCTGCAGGAAAGAAAACGGCTTCGCATTGGCTAGCCATGCTGGCACGTACCAAACACAGCCACAGACAACAGACCAACCGGGTCCACAGCGGCCTGTCGGGGGACAGGGACGGGCTGAGGTGTAAACAGGCTCGCTCCGTGGAGCATCGGCGCTGACGTTTCGGCGGAAGGCGGTGCAGATCTTATCGCCATGTGAGTGGAAGCCGGGCTTCCAGGGAAGCTGATAAGATCGCGGCAGCATTGGCTAAAACCCCCAAGTATTGACATGAAACGGTAATCTGACAAAGAGCTCCGTGGAATCAGTGAAAGATATTCTTCAATATAAATACCTCCGGTTCTCCCAGCCGCAAACAGCACATGAGCTGTGGTTAGAACACCGGTTAGCTGGACGGTTTCGCTAAAGCCTAAATGCTGGGCATTCTGCCCCCCCACGGGTACCGAGCCCGACATAGAGAGTTTGTGGAGAAAGCCCACCTGCTTTACCAGCTAAAACATTATGTATTATTCTAAAAGACAAAGTCCTATTGTCCTACAAACCCAACATAAAACAATGATGCCGGATGGGCATCAAAACGTGACCCGTGTTTCAGGTTCGATTCCCACTAGGGGCCGCTGGGTGTGGAGTAATCAGTTACCCTCGATCTCCTTCCCTGAGTCAGAGTCAATAACAAATGACACCCGCAGCTGGCTTAGTGGACCTATAACAGAGTGAACCAAAATTGGCGGATCACAAAAGACAAAGGACAAGAAGTTTAAAAAGATTCCAGACTGATATTCATTGTTTATCACATCTTGACAAACAAAAATATTCAAATTAAAAAAAATCTTATCACTGAAATGTTAGTACCAAAAAATCTCAAAAATATTGCAGTCATAGAAAAATGGTCTCCACAACGTCAAAATAACTGGTTTTTATCACATTGTGCGGGATATTTGGTCCACACAATGTAATATAAACATAATCCACACGCGCACACACACACACACACACACACACAAAGTGTTAGGAATATCACAGGGAATGTTTTGCAAATGGTTTGAATGCTCAGGAAAAAAAAACAAAAGGGTGGATATCTAATTATCCCCCCACCTGGGGGGCAGGGGTGGGGGGGGCACTGTAACCTGGGGGGTCAGGATGACACGCAGCCGAGATAAGAACCACAGCAGCGCTAATTAAAAGTCGCAGCCGTGCTCACTTGGATGAGGCACCACCCCCCCTTGCCACCGAGAGCATTTGGGGGGGGGGTTGCAGACGCGTGAAGGCAGAAGTCAGCTAGCGGCGAGGGGCGAGGCATGGGTGGGGGGCCCAAAATAGGCTGGGGGCTGGCGATAAAACTGCTGTGTACCTGGGAACACGCGGCTGTGGGGGGAGAGAGGAATTTTGAAACCTTCCCCTTCTGACAACCCCCCCCCCCCCCCCTCCGCCGGTCAATGGCATCATCCTGCTGATTATTAACACAAAACACAACAAGATGCAGGAAGATGAAGCTGAGGCCGTAGGGGCCGCGGTGGGACGCAGAAGTGTGGAGACAGGCTGGGAATCACGCTTCAAGAACAGCAGGACGGCCAACAAAATCAAACTTCAAGGAATTCTGTACCCAAAGCTAAATGGGAAAATAACCAGCACCACTCTCCGTGATCACGCTTTATCTGGCCGACGGTTTGCCCCCATGCGGTGCAGCCTGACATGTAAAAACAGTCATTTAAAAGCAGTTTACTAGTGTTCCCTGACCTGCACAAATATTGCATCCATGGTGGGACGTTTAAACTTAAAGTCGAACCCCTTGTGCTTTTCAGAGCATCCGACCGTGAAGAGGAGTAAAAAAAAACACCAACACATTGACTGGGTCTCGCTAACATAACTCACTATTTCTCAGCCTTTGCATGAAACAATGCAAGGTAAATAGCGGAAGTCTTTCCTTTGAATCTCCCAAGTCACAGAACGGGGGGTTTTGTAGCTGCGCTTGTGAGAGTTCAAAGTGGCCCTGGCAGTTCTCCGGGGGCCACAAACGTGCAGATTCTCCCTGGGCTACCTGAGATGAAAGGCCAGGGTGCAGCCATATAAACAAGCAGATGTCGAGCCTAACGGTCCCCTCCCAGCACGTCAACGTGTCTCCTCTCACACTTATGGAGTATGTTCCACAGGATGCTCTTCAGGCCCCCCACCCCACCCCGACCCGAGGCCATGGTTTGAGGTCATCGCTATGAATCCCTCTCCCCTAATCCACCATGCACCCCCTCCTCAAAAAAACAACGGGGACGACGGCAAGAAAACACTGATGTAACTGAAACCGATCCAGCTGGCAGGTCCGACTCCGGAGGGCTGGGTAAATGTTTTCAGAAAGCAAGTGGCTTTATTAAAGACCACCTCGGAAGTCAACTTGGGGAACGGAGAACGGCCATGTCTAACCACGTCTAACGTCTTCTGTGTTTCCAAAGCCGCGTCATCTGGCTACAGGAGGTGGGGCATGATGGCGATGGAGGTCACCCTGGGGCGCTGTCCTACAGACAGCCGTAGAAGCCATGACATCGGCTACATGTAAAAGGCGGCCGGCGTCGCGAGTCACACACTTCCAGCCGACGCTGTCACGGCAGATCTGCTGTCTCGGGAAACCACAATAATGGGCCGTGTAGCTAAATATTAACTGTGGAAACATCAAAAGACGGGCCACATTCTGTGGAGCCCTAATCTCGCCCATGACCGTTTCTCCCCCTCTTATTTAGTACCATAGATGGATAGCAGCATGAAAACATACTAAATCAGGTTCAAAGGCTCATGTTGTTATATATGCCAGATGATGGGAAAATCCCACCTTTCTGAAGGCCCTCCACAGCTGCTCAATCGTGAATCATAACGGTTTTCAGGCAAAAGCATGGTGTAGCTGCAGGGGGCGTAGTGGTCAAGGAACCAGACCCCCCTGTCTGAGTTATGAAGGGCACCCCGCCCCCTACCTCCACGTTCTGGGCCGCCACTTGCCCACTCACCGTGCCAACCAGCGGGTAGATGAAGCCAGCCCCAATGCTCGCCCGGATGTCCCGGATGGGCAGGACAAATCCTGTGGGGACTCCCTTCCGGTCTGGCATGTGGGACAGGGACAGGTGGGTTTTGGCCATACAGATCGGCAGACTACTGAAGCCCTGAGGAAGGGGGGTGGGGGGCAGGCAACACGTTACATATCACTCCATAGAGTTACACATCACTCCAACAAGTAGCACATCACTCAAACATGTTACACATCACCCCACATCACATCCCCCAGTTGGGCAAAACCACACAAGACGAAAGCAAGTCCATCAGTGCCAGTGACGCCCCCACAGATGGTTGATAAGAACTGGGTTCAGAACCACTGGCTTACTTGATTCTTTAGGGTTGTCTTGTTTTAGTCAGTATAAAAATGTGCCGCGGTCAGTGTACAAACCAGGCCCCTCCCTAAGGCCCGCAGTCTGACAGGGGGGGCGACCATACCAACCTGCTGATTGTAGTAGTCTATCTTGGCTCGTGATTCTGCAGACAGTTCGATGTCATCCGCGCCATACACCTTCTGGGCTATCGTCCGGATCTTCTCCACAATGGGCATCTGCAGGAGGTCACATGATCAATATTCCTTACGGACGGACTGCGCTTTGATTTGAGTGGAACGGACAAAGCTACTCTATTTTTTCAGTGGTTAATTTATTACCCATGGAACAATTGCTTTGACAGCAATGATGTCTGTGTCTGTCTTTCAGCGAAGCCTATTTGATGCAAGAATCCTCTGAGTACACAGGGTCCCCATGACTGGAGGGACACTCTGCAATCAAGATGCCACAACTGCACAGGTTACTAATAATGGACCTTTAATGCGATACCGCATTAAACAAGTCTGCAGCCTGAGCCTGCACTAATGAAATCACTTCATTGAGGCCTCTAAACTGAAACCAGCTGATGTTTGTCTTGTACCCAAGATTGGAAGACTGTGAGGATCGCATACGGAGATTAATCGAAGGGTTTTTTCAACCCATCTTCCATCCCTGCTGGTGATTAATCTGGAGGACACACTGGACTCTCCTGGAAGTATTTACAGCTCAGTTCAGCTGACTGGCCATCAAACTTCCCAGACACAGTCAGCTCTCTCATGGGTAGAGGCGGCCACCTTGGGACTGTTCCCTTTGTGATTGCGGAACAGTGGTGGGAGTCAGTCCATAGAGGTGATACAATGTCCCTCACAGTCACAGATGGAGGCTGGGCTGTGCAAAGCCCTGGGGGGGGGGGGGGCCCAGCTGGATCTGGCGCCACNGGGGGGGGGGGGGGGGCCCAGCTGGATCTGGCGCCACACCATCCTGGCAGAGCCGCTGTGTCTGAACCCGGATCAGCAGTTCTGTCTGACTGCAGAAAACCTGATTTGCCAGAGTAAATTAACAGAACAGTGAGGTCCCCCAAAAAATCAGGAGTTAGTTTACACAGCTCTTGTGTGGTAACCCTGCTGTTTAATCAGCCATATCACCTGCCCAAGCCCCCAAAACAGGATCGATATCGCTTTCCATAATACCGCTACCAGCTGTACAGCTATTGTGCGTTTACTGCCTGAAACAGCCATCCAGGGCGCCTGGGTACATCTGGCAGTAGGTGCAAGTGTCAGTCTGCAGTGACTCTCGTCACAGCAAACCCCCGGTGATGCTCCAGTGCCAAGTAACTGTCTCTCCTGTCCCCATCTGGACCCCTGTGCCAGTTCCGATGGCATTTTATCCCAGACCTGACAGTGCATGAGTACTTGTGCGCCCATACACACACTCTCATACGCACAGAGCAAAGACCGCTCACCGTCTATGGGTTTCTAAATCGCGTTAGGGGTCATTATGCCTGAATCACACAGGAGCACACTTATATGGGAATATACCACAATTCCACCACTCATCTTGGCACCCAGGTCAAATTCATAGTCTATCAAGTGTCAGTGAGAGTCAGCGCCAATCGCTGGACTAGAGTGAGACCCTCCTATGCCGTGACCTCATCTCTTCATCAAGACATTTAAAAAAGATAAAAGTAAGGATTCTTCATAACACTTTACTTAAAGCAGTCATATACATAAATGCATTATAGATACCTTCGTAATGCATTATGGTGCATTCATAAAATATTATAAACACAGCTATAGCTATTTGGAAAAAGGCATAACACATTATAGCCATGTTTATTATGCATTATGGCTGCCTTATGAAGCTCTCAGGTATAATGTACTATAAATGCCTTCATAATGCCTTATAATGGTCAGTATACTGCATTACCAGGGTATGTATAATGAATTCTTATGACTGCTTTAATTAAATAACAAGTTACCGTATTCTTTTCCCATGTATTCAGAAAAGGATCAAATCGCAGCATTCCTGCAGCATCAGTCAGTTACCATTAGTAATAATCTGGGGATTTTCAGCCCATAATGAATTTCATATGCATTAAAAATTGTCTTGAATCTATCAGGGAATAAATGGGATATAAATCCATTGGACTGGGCAGCACTGGGGTAAAACCGGACCAAACCGGTACAGAAGGCGACAGTGGCACGCGACCCTTCCTCACATCTCCCTCTGAAGCGCAAGTCGCATGCTTCAGGCCCCCGCTAATGTGGCCCCGAGCGAAAGGGGCCGTCGGCCCCCCAGCGCTAGATGCCACAAGGCGTATTTATAGAACGTGGGGAGCGGAGCAGGAAGTGATGGAATGCGGCGTGGTGGGGTGTCATGTGATGCAGTGCAGCCGGTACGCCACACGTCAGGCTCAGGCAATTCCAGTAAGAACCTGTTATTAAGGGGGTTAAATAGGGGGCTTATGCAGGAGGAGAGGGTCTTGGGGAGTGTTACACAGCACAGGAGTTGGCAATGTGTGGCTCGGCAGGCTAGGCCTCTGCGACCAGAAGGTCGTTGGTTCCAATCCCCTCCTCAGCAGTGACGTTACATCTCTGTGACCTTGCTCTCTGATTCCAGGCTTCGCTCTCACCACCATATATCCTCCTGAGACCCCACCCATTCATTTATGTCCATTGCAGTGGCCATTTTGTCTTTTCACTGATGTAAGGAAACATATTTATTCCTGTTGTACACTAAAGAGAACATGCTGTGAAATTAGAAATAAAAATAAATTTGAAAAAATCTAAATTGTAAGATGTCTTATTTCCTCCAAAGACAAAAAACCTAAAATTGAAGGACACTTTTTTCCTTGGGTCTCAGGAGGATATGTGTATATGTCTCAAATGAGAGCATGATGGGAAATGCGAAAGCATTCCAATGTACCTGCACAAGCACTCGTTAACGGATCATTTCTTTCCTGTGACAATGTTATCAGTCTCTGAGCCACTAACGCCCCTCCCTCCACCAGTCACTCCAGTAGCGTCTCACCTGCGGCTCGTACAGGAAGCGGAAATGGCTCTCCTGGCTGGCAGCCTTGCTGACGGCGTGTGCCAGTTCCACCGAGCCGCGTCCGCCTCGCTCCCAGTGGTGGCACGCCACGGCGTCGGAGGCCCCGCATTCCTTGGCGACGCGGCGCACCAGGTCGATCTCCGCCTGCGTGTCGGTCCTGCGAGTGGGGGGGGCAATACACATGTGACGTGATCCGATCCCCCAGCAAGGAAAGGCAACAAACACAGCATACATCTCTGCGCTACACAGTGTTAAGGGAACGAAAGAGACAGAAAATCAGGGGAGAATGAGCAAGCAGGCGGGCGAGCAAGCAGGCAAATTCTCTGCTCCGAATGAGGCGTGAAGTTCGAGGCCTGACTTCAAAGGGAAGGGGGGGAGGTCCTGTGCCTTTGCTCCAGCTACAGGGCTCCAGGGATACTCTGTGTTGCCAAACACTCTCAGCCATAAAGCCCCCCCCCCCGAGGGAAAGGAAGGGGTGCGGTGGAAGCGAACGAGCGTGGTACCTGAAAAGACGGCCTCACCTGAAGACGTTCAAGGCAACCACCACAGGCACCCCGAAGAGGCCGGCGATCTGGATCTGCTTCCTCAGGTTACTGCAGCCGTCCGCAACCAGCTCAAGGTTCTGGGGGGGGGGGGGGGGATGTGGGCGTGGATCTGGGTTATACCTGAGCTTCCCCATTTACACATTTACTTACTTAGCAGAAGCTTTTATCCAAAGTGATGTACAAATGAAAGCCTGGTCAGATGTACAAATGAAAGCCTGGTCAGATGTACAAATGAAAGCCTGGTCAGATGTACAAATGAAAGCCTGGTCAGATGGTCCCTGGAGCAACTGGGGTTAAGGGCCTTGCTCAGGGGCCCAATGGTGACATCACTCTATGGACCCTGGGATTTGAACAGACACCCTTCTGATCACAGGTGTAGTGCTAACCCACAGAGCCACGCGGAGGTTCCGTCAGCTTGGGCGGAAGCTCTTCTGCTCTCTGAGGAAGGTCACATGGATAACGGACGACCGGACGGAGAGACCGGCTTCCTCCTGATTATCAACTGGCATCATGAGGCAGCTACGGATTCAGCTGCTCCGGGTCAGAGGTGGCGCCGGACGTGATACGCCCGTCCTGTGTGGGCGGCTCACAGCCATGTGACGGGCTACATGGTCACATGAGCCAAGGTCACAGCTTTGTTTTTGGGTGAGTGGGGTGGGGGGGGTGGCTGTGCCAAAATCTGGTCCACAACTGTCACCCGTGAGGACAGCTACACAGTAACAGCTTGATACCACGCGCTGCTACATGATGATGTGGTGAGCTGGATGGGGTGATGAAATGGAGGGGGCGGCGTATTGGGGGGGTCATTACTCACACTGGAGGGATTATTACACCATCTGCCTGCTCATTTCTGGATTGGCTGAGGTGGGCACACACACACACACACACACACACACACACAAACACATACACACACACACACACACACATACACACACACACACAAACACATACACACAAACACACACGTCTATCTGACCAGTTCGCAGTGTCACTGAGGGGGGGTGACACTCGCCGGAAGCAGGGGACTATTCTGGGCTGACGCAGGCGCTCCTACCTCACTGCACCACTGATATTTCGAGAGGAGGGGCATTAGGTGCCCAAGAACCCACATGGGTGGGGCAGCTGGGGAAGCGTTTAAGCGAATAGCGGTTTAAACCTTCCAGCGCTTCACGTCCAGCATCTGCACCACCATTGCTGACCCCGCCCACACAAGCCACGCCCACACCGGGCTCGCCCATGTTGCCCCCTCCCACACCCAGCACGGTTGCGACTCGGCCTCCGGCCCACCATTCCAGGGCAGTGAACTTATCCCGCCAGGCACAGGAAGTGGGCCGAATCATCTGGTCTGGTTTCTTTTACAGCACTCACAATTAACAGATTTAATTATTTGATCAGCTGAAGCCATTTTACAGTTCTGATATAAATCAGAGGTGGGGTTAAGGATACAGTCCCCATATATGGAGTCTCGTGCCTCAAATGGGGGGGGGGGGTGGGGGAGCAATGCATTTGCGTAGCTATTTGATTAACTGGCCAAACACTGTTAAGTGTGAGGACTGTGGAATGGGACCCAGGANGGGGGGGGGGGGTGGGGGAGCAATGCATTTGCGTAGCTATTTGATTAACTGGCCAAACACTGTTAAGTGTGAGGACTGTGGAATGGGACCCAGGACACATGTGGATGCTTGCAGGCATAGTATGTTTGGCCATTAACCTAAAATCATCCCCCATAAACCCACAGTGAGCTTTCAGCCAGGGTACAACAGCGCCACCTATTGAAGGTAGCATTAAACCAGTTAACCTTCCTCCCTGAACATCAAACGCTTGAGAACGCTGCATATGTCTCCCTTCCTCAGCCTGGTAAAAAGCAGCACCCCCTTTTCGCCTGCTGTGATGTATGCAGCCGATCCTCAGGAATGCTGCTTCCCGGCCAAGATCTCCACCAGCCGGCATGTTTCATTAAAAAACAGAGTTGTGCAATTAATCTGCCGCGGCTCCGACTGTGACCTTTGTCTGCACTGAAGCAGAACAGCTGAACGTGGCTTAAAGGAGCGAGCGCTGTGCACGAATCTGGGTGTACGGGACACCCTGTGCATAAATCGGGGTGTACAGGACACCCTGTGCATGAATCGGGGTGTACGGGACACATGGTGCGCAAATCCGGGTGTACGGGAAACCCCGTGTGCAATTCCGGGTGTACGGGACACCCCGTGTGCAATTCCGGGTGTACGGGACACCCCGTGTGCAATTCCGGGTGTACGGGACACCCCGTGTGCAATTCCGGGTGTACGGGACACCCCATGTGTGAATCCAGGTGTAAGAGACAGACCCAAAGTGACTGATCTTGCTGGGGCGACAAGCAGAAGACACGAGACGCCCCCGTTTCCAAGGAGACCGGCGCTCCCTTCAGCATGATCGAGCGTTCCTACGGTGCCGTTGCGCAAACACAAATCCCAAGAAGCTTTTCATCAAGGCCATGGCTCTCCCCCCCAGCTTCGGCCTCCAAAAGCCGCGTGCCGAACTCGAATCCAACATGATTATGGTGGACTTATAGAAGAAAAGCATGCACCCTCACATTAGCAAAAAACTGGCTAAAAACATGAGCCCCCCCCCATATAACGTAACATGATTGCAGCTCCGCTCCAGCGGTGCAGTGACGAGCTCATGCAGAGGGCATCATCTTACCTCCTCGATGTATTCGCGAGGCAAAGGAGCTCCTGCAGACACCTAGAAAACAGACACAGACACGCTCAGCTGGGCCGAAGCTACACTTCATGCTCCTAACAGGGAGAGGGAAAATGACGCATTTATAGGGATTGAAAATATTTATTTGAATTCCCTGCTGAGTAGTGCAATTAAGGGAATTAAACCAGACACATGTGTGTTAGTATTTATGAATATCATGTGTATGTAACAATTATGATAAGTAATTTTATTCTGATAGATTGGCTTTTAAAGAACAGGCAAGGGACAACAGATTAAAATTAGCCTATAGAGCTAACTCTGCCTCATTTACAGGATTTTGTTCTGTTGATTAATGAGCACTGTCCTTGCCAGGTAGGTAGGTAGGTAGGTAGGTAGGTAGGTAGGTAGGTAGG